TCCATCCTAGCCGTCAAGGTATCCAGACGAGACGAAAACTGCAGGCGAAAAAGCGTCAGACGAGAAGACCCTCCACTCACTTCTTTGTGGAAGACGATTTAGAGTTAACATGATATTTTTTCTGTATATGAATGACAATTGGGTAATGGGGCAAAGGTTAACTTCTATTTGTCATTTTGTCATTTGTAAACAAATCGACCAAATCTCGATGCTGCCAGAAGTACGAGATCCTGTTCCCTCGAAATAACCGGCAAGGAAAGATCAGCACCGTGCTTCGCGGCTGTTCCGTGCATCGTGAGTGTCGAGACACGCTCCCAAACAACCTGACTGCCTGCATTCGCTCCAGAGTCTTCCAGGATTTCGGCTGCCAGCGACTCTCCTGTTGCCACACTCCGCTCTGCAATGCCGGCGCCAAGAGACCAGCTATCGGGCTCCCGTTGCCAAGGGACCGTTACCTTGGACCGATCGCCTACAGCCTGTGGTTGATAGTCTTCTGCTTCCACGTCTTGTCGTAGATGAGACCGAGGCGACAGAGGCTCCGGGCGCCGTGAGACCGCAAACAATCGTATCTTCTGCCCAACTTTCGTGATGGCCAAGCCTCGCAGACCCAGAGACAGACTGTTCTGATGGGCTGGAACGAGACGAAGGCGGTCGGAGACACGACTTGCACCGCTGACGACCCGACGACCTGCCGTCCGCGACAACAGAGGCCTATTGTTGGTGTGAGAAGTCACTTATCGCCTAAACAGACTGTCACAGTTACCATCAATTGTATGCTAGTCAGTTGGTTACAAATTAAAATGAGGCTGATGAAAAAGCAAACAATATCTGCCTACTGGAACAACCAGGTCTGTTGTGCCACAGACATTTGTGGGTGTGTGCACACAAACAATGCGCACTACCGCAGAACCGGATCCGATTAGTACAGCCTCATGCCAAAAACTGCTATTTTAGGTGTGTTAGCTTTAAAGTAAACTTCGCTCCTCTTGACGACTGTAATGATTACATGAAGCCGTTTTCTCCCACCACAACAGCAAAATATTTTTATTCAGTTAATCTCCAAGTTGTGGTGAGCATCTTCATCTGACACAGGTCGCACGAAATTTCATACCTATTTTCTTATAATCCACACATCTGGCCTACACACTCGTACACACACAGCAGCTCTTCTGCTTTCCAGACGTTTGTGTGGA